AGAACTGTTTGATCACGGCGGTTTGACAGAGATAGAGATGGTGACACATCAAGAGATGGGTTTATATCGTGAAGTTTATTAAAAACGGCATTGTCCCAATTTGCTTTCCATTCAGATGATACGAGTTTATTTATAGCAGGTCTAAAATCACAAGCAGGTAACAGTAAGTCAGTTTTTTGAAAATTAAATGATTGTTTAGCTAAAGCATCTACTTTTTCATTTCCTCGTATACCTACATGACTTAGAATCCAATATAATTTAACAGATTTTGTTTTAAGTATATCATGAAATCGTAAAAGAAGTTTCTTTATCATGATATTGTCGGATTTTTTTTTTAAATTTTTAATGGATATTAAAACAGAAACCGAATCAGAAAATATCACAAATTTATCATGGGTATGCTGTGCTATGTATGACAATGCTAAATCGATAGCTTTTGCTTCAGCAGTAAAGATTGACGCATTATCTGGTAACCTCATACTAGATGTAAAATTATTTTCAAACACAGCCGCACCTACTTTGCAACCTTCTTTTGAACCGTCCGTATAAATATGTATAAAATCTTCATGTTCTTCCTTAATTGCCAGAAACTTCTCTTTGAAATGTTCAGGTGAATTTGATGACTTTTTGTGCCCCCACGTTAGTGGCGGGCATTTAGATTTACCCTTGTCCGTCTGTCCGTCCTTCCGTCCGTCCGTCTGTTCACTTTTGTGTCGCACGTAACTCAAAAAGTATTTGACCTAGAGTCATGGAACTTTACAGGAATGTTGATCAGCATGTGTAGTTGTGCACCTGGGTATTTTCATCTGGATATTTTTAGTATTTTCAGATTTATTGCCCTTGACTTAGTAAAATTTTGCAATTTTCAACTTGTGTCGCATGTAACTCAAAAAGTATTTGACCTAGAGTCATGAAACTTTACAGGAATGTTGATCAGCATGTGTAGTTGTGCACCTGGGTATTTTCATCTGGATATTTTTAGTATTTTCAGAGTTATTGCCCTTGACTTCGTAAAATTTTGCAATTTTCAACTTGTGTCGCATGTAACTCAAAAAGTATTTGACCTACAGTCATGAAACTTTACAGGAATGTTGATCAGCATGTGTTCTTGTGCACCTGGGTATTTTCGTCTGGATATTTTTAGTATTTTCAGAGTTATTGCCCTTGACTTCGTAAAATTTTGCAATTTTAAACTTGTGTCGCATGTAACTCAAAAAGTATTTGACCTAGAGTCATGGAACTTTACAGGAATGTTGATCAGCATGTGTAGTTGTGCACCTGGGTATTTTCGTGTGGATATTTTTAGTATTTTCAGAGTTATTGCCCTTGACTTAGTAAAATTTTGCAATTTTCAACTTGTGTCGCATGTAACTCAAAAAGTATTTGACCTAGAGTCATGAAACTTTACAGAAATGTTGATCAGCATGTGTAGTTGTGCACCTGGGTATTTTCGTCTGGATGTTTTTAGTATTTTCAGAGTTATTGCCCTTGACTAAGTAAAATTTTGCAATTTTCAACATGTGTCGCATGTAACTCAAAAAGTATTTGACCTAGAGTCATGTAACTTTACTCGATATTGATCAGCATGTGCAGTTGTGCACCAGGTATTTTCGTCTGGATTTATTTAGTATTTTCAGAGTTAATGCCTTTCACTTAGAAAAATTTTGCAATTTTCAACTTGTGTCGCAAGTTACTCAAAAAGGATTTGACATAGTCATTAAACCTTATGGGCAGGTTGCTCAGCATATTTAGATTTGCACCTGGGGTTTCGCTTGTGGATTTATCCCGTATTTGTAGAGTAATTTCCCTTGACTTAGTAAAAATATTGATAGAACAGTGGCGCGGTGGGTGGGGCTTTACATTTATGTTGTTGAAATTCATTTGAATAATTGTTTGAAGAAGAGTTCTTTTCAAAAGTTTTAGCCAAAGTTTCTGCAATATCCGTTTTTGTTTTGGCATATTGGCCATCACCAGTTTTTAAGTGAACAGTTGGACTCTTTTTATACTTACCACTTATATTTCTTACTGCATCCCAGACTTTCCTAATAAAAGTATTTGAATATTAAATTTGAATTAAAAGCATGCGAAGAGAACAGAACGACAGTATTTTTTACGTTCGAAAATTAAAGATAAATATATCATAAATCTGATTTTATTTACTCAAAAGCGATGAATCTATCGCCTTCAAGTGGATAAAACAGAAATCTTAAAGAACGCTTAAAAAGGCAAAGTTGATGAAACTTTACAGAAAAATGAAACCTTTGCAGATGCTTTATACGGCGATGATCATGGACTTTCTGATGTGAAACATTCGTAAAGCGGCATATGGTCTCAAAATAAAATAAATTGTGTACATAGAGCGAGAAAACGATGAACGATTATAAATAAAAAAGGACCATTGGAAGAGGATCAGAGGTCGTGAATAAAGGTATTTTGAGTATAGTTATTGATAAAAATTTAGAAATTGGTGCGTGCTTATCTATAATTCCATGTAGAGCGGCCTATGGTCTCTAAGTCCAATAATATTCGTACCGATAGGCGAATCTACATAAAATGGAACATTGAGAGAGGATCAGAAATCGTGAAGAAGGTATGTTTTCATACTTTCTTTGAAATATAGTGATTGATAAAAATTTACAAACTGGTGGTACTTATCTTAAACTTACCATTTAGAGATAAAACCTTGCCACATGCTACAGTAATTTTATTGCCTTTGATATATATATATATATAACTGTATAATCATTGCCACAGACCGCATTACTTTAAAATGTGTTGATTATTTTATTAAAGGCAACAGCTTACAGAATACTCAAAGTTTCTTGTTAATACAAAAATGTTGCTATTATGAGTTCATGTGTTACTTATAAAAAAACAACATTTGAGCCGCGTCAGGACAAAACCAACATAATGGGTTTGCGACCAGCATGGATCCAGACCAGCCTGCGCATCCGCGTAGTCTGATCAGGATCCATGCTGTTCGCTATTAGTTTCTCTACTTGCAATAGGGTTGGTAAGCAAACAGCATGGATCCTGATCAGACTGCGCGGACGCGCAGGTTGGTCTGGATCCATGCTGGTCGCAAACCCATTATGTTGGTTTTGTCGTGACGCGGCTCATTTGTTTTAATATGAAAAGCGATATATCTATGATATAAAAGCAATGCAGGAAAGGACATTTGCTAATTTAATATTGTTATTACCAAAATAGAGTGCCCTTTGATAGAAATGTAGCTTTTTATTGTATTTGTATTGAATACAAAGTGAAATGAATTTGCTGAAACTAAACCTGCGTTATATTATGTCTTTGATATCAACTATACTATATTGTTGCGTCTTTAATTAAAAAATGAAATTTGACACCTGTAACAGTATATCTGGATGAAATACTTCGCTTCAACTACTTCATGCATAAATAAGTCACTTCATTTCTCTGGTCTTCGGGATCATTGATTTCAGCATTATAAGTGTTGAAAATTGAGTGTCATTCTTGAGTACCGCTCGCACCGTTGCTAAGGAGCATGAGGGATGTTGCACCTTTTCATTATCCGTCATGCACAGACTTAATCAAACCGAGTCTTCAAATGTCATTATTTTGTTATGATTAATGCTTCAGAGATATCACACTTTTTCCAGATTTAAGGTTGAGCTGGTTGATGTTAGAGTTTTTGAGCTGAACGGTGTTAATATGTGTAAGCCGTTTATTGCAAGATGTTGTGGCTTGGTCAATATTCGGGGATTTAATCTGGTTCGTGTTCAGGGGGTAAATCGATTTAAGGAGATTCCTTGATAACCGCCGTAGACGCTCATCTGTGGATGTTTCAACATTCTTCCATTCTACTAAAGCCGGTGCTAAGACGGGGGCGTGGACTGTAGCTTACACTTTCCTGTACCGTCTAGGAACATGCTCAATGAAACCGAGCCAGCAATATTTTTAATTTTTGCCGTTTTGGGCGATCTTTAGGGTTTAGCTATTTCTTTTTAGATTATGTTCAGTGTGGAAACGATAAGCCAAATAAAAGATGTAACACTTATTCGGTAACAACCAAGGAAAGTGCTTTCCATGTCTGGGAATCCTTTAATTTTATTATTGTAGGTATACGCGTTGCACACATCCATATCAACGGTATGTTTGCTAGTCAATGTTTAAATTAATCGTGTATTCACGATATTTGTTCACGTTTCCGCGTATTTAATTGTGTTCTTAATTGTTTTCTTTTTTCTAATTCTTGTCTGATAAAGGCGCGATGTGATTGATAGATATATAATTGTTTTTTTAAAAACGTTTCAATAGACGCTTAATCTTATCTTAATATGTATATCAAGTAGAATAATCTCAGATTGTTATGATAAGACACATTTGTTAAATATTACATTTTTTGTTGCAAATGTAACATGGCATTTGTCCAGCTTTACCTCTGGTGCATCTCTGTGCACTGTGATGAGGGGCAGGTAACTGTAAGCCTACGACCTTTACCCCTCAGCTTAAGAGGTCGCAACATCAACAACGAGCTTGTAAGATTATCATTGATTGTCGATTTTATACGAGCATGCCAATAATAACCGGATATTATTTCTAAAAATTGTAGTTTTTAGAATATTTTTTAACCGTACCAATTTTGAACTTTGTTTATAACGGCCACCTCTTAAACGTTCACACTCGTTCTAGACTTCACGCGTGTTAGAATTATTCATAAACGTGTGAACAGGAAGATTCTAAAATTAATCTAAAGCAAGTATTTATTAATTCTACAAGTTCACCGTCCGTGTAAAAGTTTCAAATACTCTAGACTAAGTCTCACTGTAAAGTTCATTAACCAAATGTAAAGATATGTATTTTAAATGATGAATAAAGGCATTACATTTGGTGAAATTAGGTATGCATTTTAACAAGGTGTACAACAAGGGGCAAGACTAGGTCGGTATTTCTTTAGTACAATTTAACAAATGTTAATTGTATTTCTGCTTGGCAATCTACTGAAGAAACTACAAACGAACATATATTTTCAACAATAAAACAACTGTTTATTCACGACAACATTACAAGGATTTTACACTACAATGAATAGAACATATCCACGTTGCGTGAATTTAAATACAATATATGATATTAATTCTTATCCTTACCATATAGAGGCTAATACATATCAAAATAAATTCAGATTTTAACATAATTGAAAAAAGTTATTACAAAAATAAAATAAACAGGAAAATTAGCAAACAGTCTGAACCGTTATCAGAAGATCCTAATATTTATTCCGAAACGATTTAACAATTATCAAGTACAGTTGTTATCAACGCACTTAATATATGCATATCTATTTTGAAACTAAATATTTTTCTTTCATATTTTCAATAATATTGTACAGTATATTCGTTTTAAATATACATAAAAAATGATAAATTAAAAAAAGCACGTCAAACTAGTTTCAATTAATTTTGATTTGAGGTTGTGTTTTGCTGATCATAATACATTCATATTGCTATTAAGGAAAAACTTTTGTTAAAGAAAAGTTACTCTTACAACAAACTTCTAAGAAACTGGTCAATTCCAGTATTTGTCTCATAATGAGGGCATATTTTAGTCTAACATTTACTTTATATTAAAGTATATTAACGCTTTGATAATAATAATACTATAATACTAAGTCGAAGATAGGTAACGTATAGCCTCCGGTTTATTACTCCATTAACGCTCCTTGTGAAAAAAGTGTCGTCTGCCCAATTTTTGTCCAATTACAAAAAAAGTTTTAGCTAATTTTTGTCGTTTTTCTAAGTTTACACTGACCTTTACATCATTCATAGAATTTTATTTTTAAAACTCAAGTTCAAACTCAAGAATTCGATCATATTTATATTCTTAAATGAGGAAAGAACAGAACAGAACAAATGCAAATTTAGCAGACAAGTATAAAAGAGGACTAAGCAGACGCGTTATTTTAGAGTCGTTGTCACAGATCTGGAACAGCTAGATTCGTCCAATAGACAGTTGAGTATTGATGAAAGAGTGAACTTGATAATTTTTGCATTTTCTTGTAAAAGAGAAATATGTCACAAAACAATTAAATACCCGTTATTGACGTAATATGTTTACAAAAACAACATACATAATTATAAACACATGTATGTACATATGATGTCATGTAATGACGATGATGATGACTAAAATCGTGATGGTGATGACATTAATCGTGATGATAATGATGATGACGAAAATAGATGCTAAAATTTGTGCTTGATATCAAATTCAACTAATATTCATACAAATAAATGCTATCAAATAATCATCAAGTGCGGCACACTGCCACTATTTACAAATCGATTGCACATATCCGTTAGTCTAGCATTGCATTGCACATATAGAAGGCTCAAATTCACTTTTAGTGTCCGCTAACCTGAGATTTTTTATTATTCGACTCCGGTTTTAATTTAAGCTTCAGCGTTCTGTGTTTAAAACTCTGGTATTGTTATCTGAATCTCTTTGACTAAAAGCTTAAACTTACACTAAATAATTGACGAAAATATTGAGCTTTCTTTAACAATTTATGGGGATAAAATGATGAAAACTGTAAAATATTTCTGATCTGAGTTCATCTCATATCATATTCTACTAACATTAAATTTTGAATTAATTTCGTCATGTACTTATGCCAACGTATCTAAAATGTTCTTGAATAATATAAATCTAATATTTTCTGATGATAAAATATTTCAAATCTGTTTATAATTCAAAAGTTCATTACTGGTAGTTTGTGATATAGAAATAACTTGAGGTCTACAAAAGAGAGAGAAAAAAAAGATAAATAAACATAGACAATGGTAGTACATACGACAAAAGAAACCTACAGAGTATATTACAATGTCGCTTTCAATAGCAAACATCGTTTCGTTGATTATCATTGACAATTAAGGCACCAATGTCATCAATACTCATCCCTTATCTTCCCAAAATATGTTCAAATATCGATTAAAAGGGAAATACAATAAAAACGGCTCCGCTCAAAGCTTCCTTGTTTAAGACAATTACATATAATTGCCTCCTTTTGATCATTTTGTAAGTAGATGTACAAAATGTCGCGTTAATAGAGCGGTACCATCTGTAACCCTTTTATCTTTCTTAAACAGAGCTTTCCATGGCTGAGTGACAGTGCGTACTCAACGGTCTAAGAATTCCACGGGAAGGTCATCACCAAGTGTAAGAACTGTTCTAACGAAAGGTTTGACTGTGAAAGCGTCCGGTGTTGGACGAAGATCATAACGTTTAGCAATCTGAAAGAAATAATTAAAAATAGCATATTTATACATTGGTAATGCTTACAAATGTCCTTTATATACTAATGTACACTTTTAAACAGATGAAATTATCTTGTGGGCAAAGAAACAACTTCACATTGATCATATACATTGTATTTAAAAAGAATAAGTGTTGATTTTTAATTAATCACAATTTTTGTAGGAAAGAACTAATGTGAAACGTCTAAATATAGCTCCATGGATAAATATACAACACGTCTTCATTCTTACCAAACATTTCCTTTTTAAAGTTATAATGAAAGAAAACTTGCTAAAACTTACATTCGCGATACTAAGGTACACCATAGTTTCTGCGACGCGTCTTCCGACACAACTTCTCGCGCCAAAGCCAAACGGAAGTGACGTAAAGGGACTGAACTCTCTAACCTCGTTTCTCAGCCATCTTTCCGGTATGAACTCATCTGGCTTATCAAACTCGTTTGGATCCCTGCACATCGTGAAGGTGTTTAACATCACAATCGTCTGTAAAAATGTACAAATATATAAATATTTATAAAAAACGAATTACGGTCGATATGGAATAAAAATGATTGGCTGAAATATGATTAAATCAAAGTAACGAATTAAAATTAAGATTTCCTTAAATGTTCGGAGCTGTAAAAATGTAAACTTTTGATGTTTTTTCCCGTTATTCATTAGTAAATAAACACAGGTGTTTTCTCGCAAAGCGATTGCAAATGATTTCATATTTTTTCATAATTTTACTAATTTGCAAAGTTAAATTATGAAGTATTAGACACGATACGGTTATTCTCGAATGTTATATCTCGAAATGTACTTTTAACATCTTTGTGAAACATTTAATTATAAGAACTGTTTGTGAACAAAAGTATCGAACCATTATTTTTACTTGATAATAATGATAATATCAATAAAAACTTTGCTTCGGTACTCGGCTTGACATATTTTTAGATTTATATAAAAACAGTATTAATTTGATATGATTAATGTTGTTTCTTGAACTGAACAGGCTCAACAATATGTAGTTATGCCACTCATATACGTTCTGTATTGAAATTAAATTTAATTAATGTAGGACAAAACACGTGACACGTGTCACATTTCACTGTTATTGAATTTCTTTCCTTTATTAATTGTTACGACTCATTAAGTCTTCGTAAAGCTCTCATATTTCCAGACAGATGCGTAAATACTACGAGGAAAATAGCTGGCTCAGCAATTTTGAAGTACTAGTAGTACTACGATTAAAAAAAAAGAAACGCATTTGACAAGTTTGAAAGAAAAGTCCTAAAATATGATTGTAAAAAATAGCTTACATTTTTAGGAATCATGTGACCGGCTATAGTTGTGTCTTCGTTTAGAACACGTGCATTTGTTGGCACGGTTGGGAAAAGTCGGAGAACCTCCTTTACAGTGGCTTTGAGGTACGGCATCTTTGCTAGATGTTCGCTTGTTATACTACTGTCCGAGATATTTAAATTGTCAACCTCGTTTTGGATTTGTCGTAACGCATCTGGATGCCTGGATAGGAGATACATCGATACAGCTACAGTGTTTGAAGTCTGAAATAAATTAAAAGAATGTTTAGACAAAACATATCATGTTTTATCAAATATTTAATAATAAATGATATGACAGAGCAGTTAAAAAGTACATTTAGAACAACCAAACATTTAAACGTCCGTCGTTCCAGAAATAATAAGTGGCTTTGAGTAATCCCTACGTTTGCTAAAACAAGGCATGGAGTGTAAAAACATGTATTTTACATCTATCATAATGATTTATACAATATAGAATTACTTAATTAAATTGGGAGATGGAAAACTTTCACATATATTTATAATATATTTCATGATTTTAAGTAAAATGCTTCTAAACTATATTATATATACATGTACATTTATCATTCAATTACTTACCGTGTCAACTCCCGAAAGTAGAAGTTCAGTCATATTTGTGTAGATCTCTTCTATAGTAAGATTCTCATTAGCAAGGAAATGTTCCAGTAACGTGGCATTATGTAACTCTTCGTCCCCCTCCGTGTTCGATACCCGCTCCTCAAGAGATTTTCTCTTAGAGTCCAAAATACTTTTAGCTAGAATATATAGGAAAAACTATCATAGTATAGCAAACTTCATTAGTACTTTTCTCAGAATAGATACGACATATTCGCTCTAAATAAGCAATTCTAAAACACGAACATTTCAACAGTAATAATTTTCCTGTGATTTTATCACAAAATAGATTTTGTATTATGCAGTGATAGGTTTGAATCTTTAAATATTCATTTCTAAAGTTATTTTTACATTTTTATCTATCAGGTACTTTGTTTTATTGCCCAAACCAATTGCCTGACTTAAGAAACGTGGTCAAACCCAGAATTTTCAAACCCACACAATTGTCCATAGGAACTGATGTCAACGGTCGTACAAACTTTATCATTCTCATAATTCATGTACATGTATACTAAAAAATATTATAACACGTTTTGTCTCAAATAAAATGAGCTCTTCTTACCAACATCAATGATGATGTCCCATGATTGTTCAAATGTCCTCCATATTTTAGTGTTCAGGCGTTTGTGTACGTTACTAAACACGATCAGTTGGTGACTAGTGTACATCATGTCCTCGATAGCTCGAACAAACTTGTTCATCGTCTCAGGCATATCATGTTCAAGACATCCAAATCTTTCATGTATTAGGACCTGACCAATACCTTAAAAAAACGAAATAATGTTGCAATGAAATACCATAACGCAGATATGCCTTATCGGTAAATATACTGTATACCTATAACAATGACGTGTCGTAAAATATCATATTTAGATTATGATTTCTTTATATATGTATATTATACATTGAAGACTGTAATCTTCATTTAACATATTACATTTTTTAAATATTGATGGCGCACTTTTTTGTATTTTTTGACCATTAAATAAACGTTACTTTAGTTAGTTGTAAAGATTATTAGCCGGTTATATGGCGCTATATAAACACCAGCAAACAACCGACCCTATACATGCATATAACCTGTCAACGAATTTATAATACAATACATCGGGTGGAAAAAATATCAACGAAATTTCTTTATAAATTGATAGCAGCCGTGTATATTGTTTATATAAACGCCACAGTTATCCAATGAAGAACAACTATACAAACAGGCAGTATTATAATAAATCTAATACTCCACGTTTGTAACGTCGATTTTCATTGAATAATCAAGACATTTATATTATTAATATACACTGCTGCTGCAAATGAAGAAATTAAAATACTTTATAGTTGACAGAGGCACAGCCGTGATAACGATAAATCTTATAATAATATTATATACTTACTTTCAATTGACCAGGCGTAGAATAAATTTAGGATATTCGGAACAGATTTGTCTTTATCGTTTTGATCTCGGGCAACTCGAAGTTTTTCTGCGAGCTCTTCCGAGATCTTACTCAGATCATTGACATGCTCCTGAATTTGTCGAGGTTTCATCAGTCTTTGATTCAGCAACGTTCGGATCTTTCGCCATTCTTCGCCAGACCTAATACAAAAATAAGACTTTGCGTGAGAAACAAAAATTAATTTAATAATTTGAACAGTATGCAACACTGATAGAAGATGTCAAATGTATGACGAAGTCCATTTAAATGAAACTTTGGTTAAAACGCGTTTGATTTTTGGCGGGAAAGTCATGAATAAATTTGAGCGGAAATTTCCGAAACTATAGATTGCCATTGTATGAAAACTTACGCTGAAACTATCCCTTTACTCCTCATTCTCATCTCCTTATAATGCAACCAGGCTTCGTATGGTGGTCGAGTCGGGTATCGGCCCTCATGGCGAAACAGTTCCTCCACTAATTTTGGATCGGCAATGGATAAGTTGGTCACAGGTCCAAGTCTCTCTTTAAATATACGTCCGTATTTGGCGTGGAACCGTCTCTGTAATTAAATGACACGGTTGAATACTCATTTTCTTCTAAATCATATTTTATAGAGAAAGTTTGCAATCAAAAAGTTGTATAAAGTCGAATAGAATATGTAAATGGCAACCACTTAGACATGACCTTCTTAACTATTGCGGTGCACTAATTAGAAGTTTTATCAGCACATTATGATCTAATTATGGAAAATACAACTTGTTGGCTCAGCACTCGACGAAAAATGCACAAACAAGCGTTCCTCGACCCACTCATATAGTCTGCAAAATAGCAGTAGGCGCTTAAAAAAAAGAGCATACAGTGCATGTACGAATGTGTGTGTTTTTATTTTAAAGGGCTACATTTTTTTTGGCTACTTTTATATGCGAAAATATTTCATTCAGCGCAAAAAAAACATACTAAAACAAACAAAAAAAAAAGATTGTATTGTACTGAACGTTGCCCGGATGTATATAAATACATAAAACATGCTATATAGCTAAGTGCTTTGCGTTTGAGGTGTTTTATAACCGGGATAACTATAAAGTTTCACCTCAGTGACCTTTCGTGACCTACAAACTAGAGGTAGTTGGCTTTCAGCCATCTACGTGAAATACAAGAATGACAGGCAAAATGTTCTTAATAACGCTATTTTGGCAAGGTTTATTATGTACATAGTTTAACTAGATCCTCCTTTCCATTCATAAGACTTAACCAAGCATTTTTATAATGCGAATAATTTCTGAATTGAACATAACACGGGCCTTCGTGTGGGTATAACAGTTTTATCAGAATGAATGAACCGACTTCGAACCGAACAAAAAATCCGTATCAAGTAATCTACTACAATACATTCTCATTTTTGTGTACTTAAACAATATCGGGTCGAATAAAGCGACCGCTAACCGCAAGCGGTGCAAAATGCAAAAAGATAACAGTTAAATAGAGTAATTAATCTCACCACAGATAACTGTAGGAAGATTACAAATAAAAAGGCAGGCCGCTAAAACCACGAACTCTTCTCTAATAAACCATGGTCCTATTAAAGTTGGTACCACAGCGATAGCCACAGAAAAAGATAACTGTGATTTAGTGTTCGAATCATTTCTCACAATCAAAATATAAAATGAATGCGTGAAATATAAATATGATTGCGTGACTTGTTTTGTTATGTTTTTTTTTGTACCATAGTTCATGAATACGCGGCGTCGTTATCATAATTATCATTTAGAATTATGATAAGAGTGATTATCATTATCATCATTATTATTATTATCATTATATTTTACACGTACAAAAATATATATTACAGGAAATAGCGGCTTAAATAATATACGCCGCAGTAAATTTATGCAGTTTCGACATTGGATAAGAATATCACTTATCTAAAATAATGGAAAAAAAACGTAAGAACTTATTAAATATTAGAATATTTATAAGAATTCTACATTAAGGTATGTGCATGATCCCCGTCTAATGTTTTTACATACAATTTTATATCAAAGTGTCCTGCATTCTGCATTGTCACTCTTTTTTCTTTTTTTGTTCATTGATACGCGCAAAATTGTTTTATCAACGCTATATGCATATGCGAATATTTTATGCGATAGGCATTACTAGATTGTTTCTTTTTAAATAGACATACATTATACTGTAGTGTTATATGTAAGGTTTGATGTGTTGGCGGCTGACAATCTTCCTTAGCTGGAAATGTTCAGTAACGCGCAAATCGAACAAGAATCTGTGCAGGCTCTCGGAATATCAAAGAGAGTTTTACGCATGAACTAAAAATTGTACATAGAAAAATATGTAAGGATTATGTTTGAGTTCAATTGCTGAACCAATTAATGTTAAAGGCATATAAATGTATGGAACATACAAGTTTTATGTTAAACAGTAGGATAATAATGGCGTCTACACCTGTACACTAGTAAAAGGAACACTTATTTTATCAAAATAACACCGGAATTCATTTTATAACCTATTGACATAAAATGACACTAAATTACGCAAGCAATCCGAGCAAAACAAAGTTGTAAAATTATGTAAGTAAATACATTTACCTCTCGAAATCAGGTTAAATTTTGGTCTTAATTACAGAATATTGCGTTATCATCGATATTTTATCGGATCTAATGAAAAGACGGCGTAAATAATCTTTATTTCATTTATACAATGTTATTATTAACACAATCATTTCAGATGAAAATGCACTTGATGACCTATCAAGACGACACGAGTATGAATGAATATATTGTCCCCAACAGGACATTCCGTTTCAACGTGTTATAATGATTGCAATAATTATAAAGCAACCGAATGAGCCCTTAAGCGAAAAAAGAAAAATACAAAAAGGACGTTTTTGACAGACTCAAAACGATTATGATACAACAGTTCAAATGCGAATTTGTTGATTTCAACAAACTTTGTATATTATATACGGTATAATAGAATTTACCATCAAATCAATGTCTAAATTAGTTTACTTTAGTATGATATGTCAATTCAAGGTTGTTCTTTTTCAGCAACTTTACAATAAGTAATATTTATATCGGGTTATTATTGTTGATATTAGATCAGACTGCGAACTATCACGGATGATTACGAAGAAGAGTTCATATACATGTACTAATAATTGTTACAGAATATGTACTTCGATAGTATAATCATAAATAAAACATGCCACGCGTATCGCGTTTGCAAATTAACTTGTTAGTATGTATAATTACAGGGTCATTGAGTGCTTATACTTATCGGTCAGTAGGTCAGGACAGAAGTAAGAAATCTTCTACCCGATGAAGTAGTTTTTAATTACTTTTTTATACTTAAACCTCAGTTGCTTAATTTGTGTACTGAGGGCAGAAGTATAATTACTTAGATATACACCGTCGTAATGTCCTCCAAGTTTGATGCATGATCAGTGCATGTAACTGTAAGTTATAGACATTTTATTTTATATATTTGCACTGCAGTTCTTACTCATTTCGAAACAAAGAATAACTTTAATAAAGAAAGGGAAACTCCTGAAAACATGAGTCAAGCGTTTTAATTATTATGAGTTACATACATAAAACTTCGTCCGGTACTCAAAATTTTATTTGCGGAACCTTCCTTTATAACTGAATGAACTATAGTTTAAAGTATAAAACTTCTGTTTTGATGACAAATTCGGTTATTTTGCAACACATCCTACGCAGACGTCAAACGCCGTTTTATACATTTAAATGCAAAAATAAGTCACTTGAATGTAGATCGTAAAACTACCAGTTCGTTGATATAAAAAATGCGAAATTATCGCCTCCGTTTGCCACAAATGATCTTTAAATGTTAATTTTTTCATGAAATTTTTTTAAACATGGCGTATTGAGTTTATTAAGTCCTGTTTTGTTTAATTCACGCGTGCGCGCGCACTCTTATCTATTTCATCTCACAGCGTCTTATCTAACATCTGTGCTTAATGCATGTAATCTAAAAATTACCCTTTTGGCAGTTTTAAATCAAAAATGTAAACTTCTCTCGCAGTGTGAAAGTTAAAAGTAAAATGATGGTGTCAAATTTGTAAAAAGTAAAACTGTCAATAGCACAACTTCCACAGCGCTATTTCACATAGCTTTAAAACATTTAACATGAATATATTTGCAAGTATATATATTTCAGTAAAGCACTTAAGAGATTCAAGAAAGAATTAATTTTATAGGACAATAACCGTTTTGTATGTGTATTACAAACAATAATGATAAATTCGGTAGTTTTTACAAATAAAGATTTTCATCAAAATAAATTATAAGAACATAAAATAAGTTTTAATGTCCAATCTAAAAAATTTAAATGATCGATGTTTCGTAAAAAATATGAGATTCTATAGTGTGTGGGTACCGAGATAGTTGCTCTCGCTCCAAATTTCTTACCAGCTAAACTGGTAAACTGCCAGCACGGTTATTTGCCTTATGAATTATAATACAGGAATTGAATACAGTTAAGATGAATTGAATTTTATTCGGCATCTCCCCCCGCACCCCCAGAAGCGCGCGGTCTTGTATTGCTTATATTATGATAAGAGACTCTATTCTTATCTACTTGTACCTATATTTTTAGACCAAGGTAGATGTCTTTTCTACACTGAGTAGATAATGTGTTATCAGAGAATCTGCCTGATAACATAGCATGCATTCTAACTGGAATGAATCTTGAAGCGTGCACTAGACGTAAGTGAGGAGAATTTATTATTAAATAGCAGAACACCATATAACAAGTTACAAGCGTAATAATTAAGTTATATTTTCCTTCTAAGCTTTTTTTTTAATGGAAAGTGGCAAATATTCGGGAAAAAAATTGCAAAACTGAAATTTGCAATCTCGAAAAAAAAACTGCTATTGATAATGATTTGTGAAAGAAAATAAGGTAAAAAGTATTACTTTTTATATAATACATGCAAGATTGTCCTTAACGTGAACCTATCTGAAGGGAAGCGTTTTTCATCGTTACTGTATACTTACAGATTTTGCAACTGTGTTTTATAAGCGAAATCAATGAATAGAAAGACTGTAAAGGTTTGTTTAGCATTCACTTAGAAAAGAAGGCACACAAAAACGCGAGCGTTACATGCCTTGTACAAATATTTAATCGCACAGTATAAAGAATACACTCTTGTATTTCACACTTTTCGGGAAAGAAAATCTTTTTTTGAAAATATTCGCTGTAAATACTACACACCTGAATTGTAGACGAAGTGTCTACTACAAACAGTGTCTCATTGACGGCACAGATACTGCAAATCGTAACTTCTGAACTCGCACAAGTTCATTAAAAGCACTTATAAAAGTTCCTTTCATTTTCGATATTTACTAAGCAAAGTTTCTTGCAGAAAAAAAAATAAAGGTAAAAAAAGTCATATCATCCTTTCATTTCATAATAAAGAAATTGTCTTGAAAAATATTTGTTTTTAGATTTTCTTTTGAACTCGTTTGTGGACGTCAAATGTTAATAAGTACATTCAAATTAGAATAAAATTTACGTTCTTTCGAAATAGTTCTAAACAAGATCACCTTAATGACTTTACCGGTCTATAAATTAATTACAATCACAGTACATCGCTTGAACTCATAGTTTAAGCAAAATAATAATTATAGATTCCTTATAAATATAGATGCAATGGCGTGCATTCTTAAATCGTTTCCCCTATTTTACTTTTCTTGATTCGCACACAAAATCTTTATTTTTTTCCACAGAATGTTGACCGGTAAAAAAGTAGTTTGAAATCTGATAGAAGTATTTGAAGCATTTTTGACTAGCATCTTTTGTTAATAAGTTTTACTAGGAAGATTTTATTACATATAATCAAGCATCTAAGATGTGGGAGATAGGTGAAAAAGCAATGAAGCAGTAATAAAATGGTAATAAAATTGTTATAAAAATGTAATAAAAATGTCAATAAGATACTACGTGATTTTAGAACAGGGTGTTTTATTGAACCAACTTTGGGTAAGAATGCGCACCCCCACATTTAATCTTGAGCACTCATCGGACATATCGTGTGTTTATTTTTTGTGCTTTGTTAAAGATCACAGCGATAATTTACAAAGATCTGTGGTGGATAGTTTTCTTCAGGCAAAAAAAATCCTAGTCAGCAGTTGTATTATAAGGCATAAAGGTCGTGTGTTAATTTTGCAAGGGTCGTTATTTTTTTCCATTCATAACAATTTTTTTTTCAATTTAATCAGTTTACTTTTCTATAGAAAAACCATAAGGTCAAATCTATGCCATTACTACAAAAACTGTGACAGTGCATTAATATTTTAAACTGAAAAAAAAAAAACCAAATATTTTTTATTCTCTTTAACTCTTAGCCTGTGAATGCCCATGTGACCAGTGCGGACTAAGACCATGGTCTGCTAAGTTTGATATACAATCAGTACCTATTTTAAAATATTCCCTAAAAAATGGACAAGTTCATTTAACGTATTTAGTGTGACAAAAGTTAAAAAATAACCTAACACCAAAATACCTCTTACTTAAATGTCTTCTTAGATAGATCATTTTGCACCGATGTTATTTTAATGTGTTTTCAAGGAAGACAAAATTTCATTTATCTATTTATACCATGACAGTGCATTTTATCTGATTAATTTTCACTGCATTTGATACACTGTGAACATCGTTGTTAGCAAATTTTTATACATAAGTTGGCATAATTGAATTTGATTCCCCCGTAATAAGCACTCAGTTAATGACAGAATTTCTTCTTGAAATGTTATATTTACTACTCACTATATGCACTTGTTTTAAGCGGACTACTTAAATCAACAAGGTATGTCACAAGAAAACATGCAATTATGTTTTTCTCGAAGTTAATGAAAATAGGAGGAAAACACCTACCTGGACCTCGTGCATTTGCCCTCTGTTAGGCTTCCGAAAATACTCAGGGGCTGTTCCTATAACTGGGTAGCCGCTTGGACCCGGTAAGTCTTGAATTGTTTTTTGATCTTGAAGTTGGGAAGTGTTTTCTGATGCATTGATAATGGCATCAGTGGCGGAGTTTTCAAGGCGACGTTCTGTTACCACACAGCGCGTGTTCTGACGCACAAGACTCACGGCTTGGCAGGCAGCCCGGCGTAGCAACATCTCAGTGGCAGGGTTCATGCTCGAGCCTTCCAATTCCGTTAAAACTAAACAAGTCTAATATCCAGTGTTTTTAGTTTAAAATCACTTTTATAAATCCGTTGAAACACTGAAAATTAAATATATAAAATAACTTTAAACAAAATATATCAAGCAATCATTTAAGTAAGCAAAACAAAATTAAAATTTTAAAATAAATAAATACAAATTGTTTCAGAAGTGCTCACAAATTATAAGTACATTGTAAGAATCTGTAAGTATGAGCTAAGTCCAATATCTTATGCACTATATAGCAAAATAAACTAATAGTAATATTAGTCCTACCTCTCGTTCACGGGAGCTGTTGAATACTGAACATATATCAATGCGAATAGTGGAGATATGTACAAGTAAGAAAATAAACTTGTGACAGATATATCAGCGTTTCTCAGCGCGCCAATGATAGCTCCGTTTCAAAGTTCACCGCGGTGCGCGGGGCAGGCAAGTGTGTATATAAAGGTTTTAAACTAGAAAATTTCGATAAAAGTATTAAGCTTGCGTAACGAAACTGTTAAACGTTTGGTTTTTTTGTACTGAACTTACTGAAATAGTTTTAAAGTGTGAGATCGTGAATGGAAAGTGGGTTTAAACGATATTTACATTTTGCGTACTTGATACTAAATTTAAAGTTAATGTAGGGTTTATATCAGTGTCACGTGACGCCTTTAAACCGTAATTAGTAATATTACGCATTTTATCATTTAAGGGGAGGAGTTGTTTTTAAAGTGCTTGAATCATTGAATTGTATCATTTGTAAAGGAATGCGTTTCAGTGTTTTAATGAGTTTGCACTTAAATTATATTATCAATCTTAAGATATTAAACGGACTATATCAAAAGAAAATGAGATTAGTAAAATACTTTAATGCTATTTATCAAATACCGAGTTCTCAGAAGTAATGTATATTAAGCGAATTGTTTTGATGTAATATTTTCGACGTAATCTGTAAATATGTTTATAAATATCTATATAATTCTTAGAAAAATAAAAAGGTGCATTTTAAGATTCATGTTTAATTGTAAAATCGACATGGCAGTTTAATGATAAAACTTGAATGTATAATTTATTTTCTTATATTTATTTGTATACCATACAGTACAGTTAGAAAAAGTAATTAATGGCACTTTAATCAAGTTTTTTTTCAAGTAATTAATACCCGGCCGATTGGTTTAACCAGAAGTTTTCTCGTATCACATTCTTGCACCGGTGATACTGTAAGAGCAGCACATCATGGTTTTATCATAATTTTTACATATTACCCATAATGCTGCAAAAAGTATATATTATTTCTTTAAGTATACCAGTATATTAATTAATTCAACACGTATGCATGTAACGATATAAATGTAACAAAATGGGTAGAAATACACAAGAAATAATATTAGTTTTAAATAAAGCTTTAAAATAATAATCAGACTCAACTCATTCATACTTTATCAAGGGTATGCACTCATATGATACGAGTTTTAATCACTCATGCTTGCAAAGCAGCGTTAGAAGATATATAAGTTAACAACAAATTGCTTATTTCCGTTGTCCATGTCGAAATTTATTTTTTTCAACTTCCAATATGATCCTTATGTAAATTATATATGTTTAAACTTTTAGATATCCTTTTGTCGGGGCACAGATTTACAGCGCGTGACGCGCATATAATCTTCATTGATTTAAAACGGTTGTTTGATTAACCGATTTAATAAAATCGGAGCTGTCCGGTTAACCAGTACACTGGTTACATAAAAAAGTCAACTATTATTTAAAATAAAATGTAAGCAGTACGTGCACAACGTACGTCTGATGTTAAACTGACATTTTGCATTTCATCCTATTTACGCAATTTAGTTTTCCTGACTTGGCTTTCAGTTTCATAACATATATAATAAAAAAAAACTAACATCACGAAACACAGCATTATTTTACTAGTAAGACCAGCTTCAATTAAATTCACAACAAGTCTAAACTAAAAGTCGTTTACCTAAATAATTAAAAGAACGAAGGAAAAGGGGGTTAAAGAAACAAATGTGACTTAAAACGTTCACAAATTATACATTTGAGCCGCGTCACGACAAAACCAACATAATGGGTTTGCGACCAGCATGGATCCTGACCAGCCTGCGCATCCGCGCAGTCTGATCAGGATCCATGCTGTTCGCTATCAGTTTCTCTACTTGTAATAGAGTTGGTAAGCGAACAGCATGGATTGTGATCGAACACCGTTTATGATATGACTATAATTATTTTATGTAAAGGCTATAGTTATTTTATGTAAATGTATCAATTTTGTAAATATATTACGATGACGTACCTGGTAAGATCAAGATTAATATTCTGCTCTGTTCTGTTCTGTTCTGTTCTGTATTATTGAAGAGAATTTGTTTTCCTTGCTTTTTGTTCGCAATATAATTAACATACTTGCATGGTCATTAACACTCGTGATCACATGGCTTGCATATACTTGAATGTTTTCATTTAGGTCAGATTGTATTGATTTTTCCACAGACTTACATTATAAGAGATAACCTAAAACATCATTTAAATGGATATATTTATCATAAAGGTGTATATTTTACGAATGTTATATGCAAATCATGCAAAATATTCGTTTGACAAACCAAATTTTTTGCAACAGAGACAATGAGTGGGAGAAGGTTTCCTCTGTTAAAAATTAAGATTCACTGTTAGGAAGCCCCACTTACTTCTGGTTTGTTTTCTGCACATTTAAAGCAAATCTTTGTATTTCTAAGAAATAAAAAAATGGCAAAGTTTGACATACAAACACACATTAAAAATAACATGTTCATCATAGCATCGTGAAAAAAAATTCGATAAAAGGGTATAGTCAACTTAACACTGAATATATTGAGCTGACTATATATAGATAGACTATGAACAAACCTTACGACTGAAAATTCGTTAACGTAATACATAAATTAACAAGTATCATTTACGACATCTGTATGAAGTAATAGCACCGAATATGAACAAACTTTCAGATTGAACATACTTTAACGTAGTTATTAACCAGTATCATTTTTCAACATCTGTATGTAGTAATAGCACCGAATATAAACAAACTTTACGATTGAACATACATTAAAGTAGTAATTAACCAGTATCATTTTCATCATCTGTATGAAGTAAAAGCATCGAATATAAACAAACTTTACGATTGAACATACATTAACATAGTTATTAGCCTGTGTCATTTTCAACATATGTATGCAGTTATACCACCGGATATAAACAAACTTATTTTCAACATCTGTATGTAGTAGTAGCAACTAATATAAACAAACTTTACGATTGAACAAACGCTAACGTAGTAATGAACCAGTGTCATTTTAATAATCTGTATGTTGTAATAGTACCGAATATAAACAAACTTTACGATTGTACATACTTTAACGTAGTTAATAACCAGTGTCATTTTAATCATCTGTATGTAGTAATGGCACCGAATACTTTATGACTGGACAAACGTTGACGTAGTAATTAAACAGAATCATTTTTTAACATCTATATGCAATAAAAGCTTCGAATGTAAAAAATAAATTACGATTGAACAAACGTTAACGTAGTAATTAACCAGTATCATTTTCAACATCTGTATGTAGTAATACCACCGGATATAAACAATCTTTACGATTGAACATACGTTAACGTAGTAATTAACCAGTATCATTTTCAACATCTGTATGTAGTAATACCACCGTATATAAACAATCTTTACGATTGAACATACGTTAACGTAGTTATTAACCACTGTCATTTCAACATCTGTATGTAAAAAGTAATTGCATTTTATAGTCTAAGTTTCATGCTTATGCACGTTCACCGACTTTACAGCTATTACCCCTGGTCATCGGGCTACTGGTATCTATGGAACGCCTGGACTGTCTTATGTTAAGAATGAATGATATACCTGGTTAAATGTCTTTCTGTTGAGTCCGAGATACAAAATGCTGGGTGGAAATCCTAATGTGCTCAGTTATTGAAGTGCTATGTTGTGTGCTGACTGTATTTTATTCAGTCAAGTCAATGTATTGTCGGGTGCATAAGTCGTTATGTTCAGTTCTTAAAACAAACAAGCATGTGGTGACACAATTATGTTGAGTTAAAAAGATATGTTGTAGGGTGTTGCAGTTATTATGTTCGGTTATAATAATATGCTGTTTGGTGCTCTTCTCATCATGTTCAACCATGAAAATGAACAGTTGAGTGCTACTATCATTTTGTTTGGCTTAGGCAGTGTATTATTGGGTGATACTTTTATTATTTTCAGATGCAATAATACACTGCCGCAGCCAAACGAAATGATAGTACCACTCAACTGTTTATTTTCATGGTTGAACATGATGAGAAGAGCTATTTTAACCGAACATAATAACTGTCACACCCTACAACATATATTTTTAACTCAACATAATTGTGTTACCACATGCTTGTTTGTTTTAAGAACTGAACAGAACGACTAATGCACACGACAATACATTGACTTGACTGAATAAAATGTAATCAGCACACAACATTACACTTCAATAACTGAGCGCATTTGGATTTCCACCCAGTATATTGGGATTTTGACCCAGCATATTGTATCTCGGAGACAATAGAATGACATTTAACCATGTATATCAGTCATTCTACACATAAGACAGTCCAGGCGTTCCATAGGTATCTATCTATCAATCTCCCTGGGGAGTCTTTTAACTCCGCTTAGTGCAGCCGACACTTTGGCGCAACGGAATTATACCACCCTCGCAGGTACCCATTTACACCTGGGTGAAGTGAAGCAATCGCAGGTAAATTTCTTGCTCAAGGAAATTAGCAGTACCCCTGGTGAAGTTCGAACCCGGGACCTCTCGACCCCTAAGCGCGCGTCCTACCACTGGACTACTGCTCCTGTAGTAATACCACCGAATATAAACAAACTTTACGATTGAACATACATTAACGTAGTAATTAACCAGTATCATTTTCATCATCTGTATGTAGTAAAAGCACCGAATATGAACAAACTTTACGATTGAACATACATTGTACATTAACGTAGTAATTTACCAGTATCATTTTCATCATCTGTATGTAGTAAAAGCACCGAATATGAACAAACTTTACGGTTGAACATACGTTAACGTAGTAATCAACCAGTATCATTTTCATCATCTGTATGTAGTAAAAGCACCGAATATAAACAAACTTTACGATTGAACATACATTAACGTAGTTATTAACCAGTATTATTTTCAACATCTGTATGTAGTAGTAGCACCGAATATAAACAAACTTTACGATTGAACATATGCTAACGTAGTTATTAACCAGTGTCATTTTAATCATCTGTATGTTGTAATAGTACCGAATATAAACAAACTTTACGATTGAACATACTTTAACGTAGTTATTAACCAGTGTCATTTTAATCATCTGTATGTAGTAATG